ACTACACTCTTCAACATGTGGATGCACATTGACAATCTTTTATTGAATGTGGCATTTTGGTGTGATATCTCATCGCCTTGTTTGTTTTTGAAATTGTAAACCAGACATTCGAAACGACAGGTAAGCGTGTTAAGATTATGTACAAACTTCCGAACGTACATGTGGAGTGTCATATACTAGAATATTTGTGGTAAGATATTTATGAAATGTAACAAATCTGAAATTGTCGTACTAAGGACGAGATTATTTGCATTGCCATATGCTTGTATTTTGTATATTTCTGGTTAAAATCTATAAATTGTGAATATAAGCATTTGCGGTAATTGAATACATTTTAATTGATATTGTTTGGTCTAATAGTGAAGCTTTATATCAGTAAATTAACATTACTTATGTATTTTAACATCTAAAATGCAGTGTATATTGACTTCACAATGTTCCTTCAGTATTGAATCAAATCAGATTTTGGGAAGGAAGTAATCGCAAGATTCATCTTTCAAAAAGCTCATGAAGGCAACATCCAACATATATACAACATACCAAATAAATTTGGTAGAATGTCAGAGGCAATTATAATTGGTACATACATTTTTCGGGCATCTTAACCTTTCTTTGTACAGACGTCTGAAAGGAATGAATTTTGTTTGGAAAATTGGAGATGAGTTTATGATATAATGTTTATAGGGAAAAAGAGTAGGTACTACGTATATTATAAACTGCATTATGTAATACTATTGTATATTAATAATGTTACACGTATAATTAAGTATAATGTAATGTTATTACTGCATACAAAATGCATAGTTATCACTCTAATATTAATACGATAATGTTTTTCAAACATTATAACAAGTCACCACATTGTCATTACATTATATTACCGAATACACAGACAAAGATCTTACCTATGTTAAAAGGCACACTTTTGTCTCAGATAAGACATGTACTTATGTATTTAAAATTTTATACCATTAGAGATTTTGTTACAATCACAGTTCTTGTTGTTTTCTTTGATAAAGTATTTGAAATTTCAATTGTAATTCTATTTTTATTTTTTACTTTGTTCATAATGTTATTCCAAATTTTAAACTGACTGTAAGTACTGACGAAAAACTGACTGTTTTAAAGTAACTGCACTTAATAATAATCTATAGATATACAATCATTTATGATCTCCCTTGTATTGCTATTATAAGCTTTAAATTCAATTGTTTATTAACATTTTGTGATATCTTCTATGTTCATTTTAATTTCTTAAAAGATATCTCTAATACTTTAGTCATTTATTAATCATTCATCTAATTTATTCTTTATGTATTCATTATATGATTTAGGATGAACCTCTATTTGCTTATTCAATTTTTTAAATAATGTTAATATTATTTTAATTTTCTGGGAACTTATGGGAGTGTAGTATGGTCCCTATATAGTATGCCCCCTTTCAACTGCGTGTTTTTGAATAAATGTGTTAATGACTTGATTGCCTACCTGTACATTTATAGACACATTGTTTATAGTTTACACTTTTACTTTTTGGAGTTCTCTCTTTTACAAATATAATTCTTTCAGGTATTTATTGATATGGTAATTTAAGAACTAGAAATGATTTAAAGATAGGTTTACACAATTCAAGTCTGTCAACCTTTGCTGGATGAGCTAACATTATTTTAATTTTCAATATTCTGTGTTCGTGGTATTTAATTCCAGAAAGTTATTGAAAATTTGTGATATTATTAAGTCATGGCTGACCCAAAAAGGAGTATATGTAGTACAAAATGATAACAATGATTTATTAACTCTTACCAGAAAGCCCATGAGCAGATCTAAACTCTAGGTATCATAAGTAAAATAAGACAAATACTGCTAACATAATGTACAAAACATGGAAATTTTAAACATACACATTTATTGTCAGAATACAAGACAAATGCTGTTCATTATTGTTCTTGCATTTTAATTTTCATCTTTTAATATTCACATTTATATATTCTATTAAAATGTTTTAAGTAATTATTGCAGGGGCGGATCCAGGGATGATTTTTTTGGGGGGGGGGATATAAACATATATATCTGAACCCCACAAACACCCACGCTGCTTCGGCGACACCAAGACGGGTCCCGCAACACAGGCGCACCCCTGATATGGGTGCAATAAGATGACAGCGCGACCTGGTATCTGCTCCCCGCGGTTCGGCCGCCGGACTTGCGGTTCATGACAAGCTCGGAAAAGTCACTCGTGACGTCATGCCACCCCTCCAGAAGAGACCGGGCAACTCACTACTCAGCCCTTCTCGAAAAAGATGTCGAGGTGTGCGGACGTGTGCCGAGAGCGAATCCGGTGAAGAGAGAGAAAGAGAGTAGCCATTTTGTTAAGAGAGTGCGAGTGAGAATAGCTAGTTTTTCAGAAGCGAGATGTAGAGCCGCGAGAAATCGATGTTGAATTGTATTTATTTTAACGCAATAGCACAATACGTGGAAACTGCGTGAACTAGTGGAAAGATTAGAACGAGGAAGGATAGTAGCCGTGAGAACGAGTGTCGTTAACTATTACAAAGCCTTTGTATAACAGTGTATTTAACAACACGCGCCCAAAGTGTTGCAAAGAACGCCGAAATATGTTGTTACCAATTACACGTAAAGACTCTATAACACGCGATGGCGTGCCGCTAGTCACGTGGATCAAAGAAGGAAGACTGGACGTGGACTTCGGTGCCGGGCGTGAATAAACGCGAGAAGAAAGGACAGAAGACGTGGGTTTGGAGGCAGCAGCATGAAGACAGGAGATTTGTGACGTTGCGGACGCCTGGACCGCGGAGGAGCGTCTGTTCGGCCTCAATTTGGGTCAAGACCAGACGTACGCCGACCACGGGAGAACGGATGTCGGCACAACCCGCTGCTGAGAGCGCGACGGCAAAGGTAAACAGACTTTGTAACGGGAACCTAGGGCAGGTGGCGCTACGAGCACGCCAGCACGGCATAGGAAAGACTGAACTCTAGCAATTTTGCATAATCCTGTATATTTCATTGCGGTTAATGTTAAGAGTGAAAACCCAAAAAGAGGTCATGCAATCTGTGTAATACGTATCGGTATCAAAGACCCACAAAACAGATTCTGGCTATACCATGGGTGAGCGGATTTTGTTTTTTAAATTTAGCGTTTGGATTTATCTACTTTTTCGTAATCAGGGTCCGGAGACAAGAGTTTTTCTGCTGGATATTTTCCGTTTTTCGCGCAGCATTACGTACGTTTCTTTCTACTCTAGAGAGAGTTAGCAGTAGCGAGAAAGTAATAGTAATACTTTATTAAAATTGTGGAATTCAGAGCTGCAAAACGACGAAGGATGAGGGTACTACATATTTCATTCTATAATAGAGATGTGAACAGATTAAATTTGAATAAAAACGCACGATGTCCAATGATTATATGATATCGAAAAGCATGTTACAAATTAAACGTTCGCATACATACAATTATTACTGACCAGGACTGAAGAAAGTCGACAGGATTTCACAAAATATATCTCAAGCTTCTACGTATTCTTTTTATTACACATCTTTCTCTTTTCTTCATATTCGTTTTAGACCTTTTCTTTCTCTTCTTGAGTACTTATTACAGCCAGGGGCGGATTCAGCCGATCGTTCTGTACGGGGCCATCGTAGATTTTTTGTTAAATAAACATTTGCTATTATGTATTTTATATTATTTTTGTAGTGTATATGTGATACTATACAATATTATTATTTTAATATTTACATAATTCTAATATAAATAAATATTTAAATCAATTTTTCCAAATAAAAGAAGGTAATAAAATCTCTAGGCCTTTTGGGGGCAAGCATGTCCCCCCTGGATCCGCCACTGATTACCGCGCCGTCTCCAGGCGCATTCAAGCGACCCATACCCTATTCCTGCTTCGGGCACACTTTAATTGCGCAAAATGTCACTGCGGCCCACTCACCTGGCACCTAGAGAGAGACCTTACTCCGTCATCACTGTGTCCAGTTGCGTCGGCCACACACCAATACGTGGAAGTCGCCATAGCTCCACTTGTCAAGAGGAGTAAGAAAGAGATGAGTTGTCATACACCTCTGGCGAACAGTCAAAAACATTTTCCATACGTACTTCTGGGCTAAAATAGAACAAGAATCAGGATTCCCATTCGTATCTAAAAGACTAAGAATAGAACGCGCGGTTTCTTTATTGATATATTTTATAGTTTATACATTTCTTTCTTATTTCTCATTTTTATTCTTCCTGTACTTTTATCATTTTCTTCTCTGGGCCTTTTTTGGGGAGGCATGCGCCCCACCTTCTGATCCGCCACTGCTATTACATCTGTAACATATCCAAGTGCTTGAGTTATGCATTTGAATTGGTTTTGATAAAAAAATACATCGTTTTTATTTGCTTTTAGGGCGATATAAAACATTTTAAATTTTTTATTGATAATTTTTGGCAACGTTTTAGATCATCAATATCCGCCTCCAGTTATTTCTCTATTTCCCTACCCTAGGGATACTATATAAATGCCTGACTGTGAGTCGCGTGTGATCGATAAATTAAGATAGTTTTTCTTCCAAATATTTTGGTCGAATATCTCATATTACAAATTATGTAGAATTACGCAGGCCAAACACAGCTCTTGCTGCAATACGATTTGATTCGTTTTAATGATTATACGAAAATATTATTGCTTGAAAGTTTCGTGTATGTTAAAATTATTGGTTAAGAAAAAATTGGGGGAGGGATTTCCCTCGTTCACTCCCCCTCTCCTTGGATCCGCGCCTGTTATTGTATAAATTAATTTGTTTCAAGTGTTAAAAGTAATAATCAATATGTGCGTAGTTTATGAAATGCTGGTAGCTGAAGAGCATACTATTTCAAGGCTTACTCCCTGTCAAAGTATGTTCTGTTTAACTTACTGTGTGGTCTCACTCAAAGGGATACTTCAATAAGAATGTCCTTGCAAGATCTTGCCAGGGAATGGAAAAGGCTAGAAATGTTTGGAAGCAGGCTTCAGAGCAGGTATATGAGTTATCTAAATTCATTGACACATTTTCCACAAGAAAAGTGAGGTTCCCTTCTTAAATCCAATGAAGTGTTTTCAATGCAAAACGTACATTTTAAGGTGTCATCTACAAACTGGAAAAATGCTGTGGAGCATGCTGATTATGGATTAATATAAGAGAGAAAGATGGGGTAGATTGTGAATATGTACATTTGAATGTAGTGTCAAAGCCTAGCTTGATGTACATTTTCTAAGTTGGCAGGATCGAATGTTGAAAATTCTAGGGAACAAAGCACGAAGAAAACCTCTGTAGGAGGTGCGCAGAGATGCTACCTGGCGGTTCTCTTGACAACTGACTGCGACGAAACTGGACACTATAAATATAAATGTTAACGGAGAAAAACCCCTTATGTAATTGTTAACAGAGGGTTACTCCACAGGGCGCTCAACGCTCCTTAATGAGCTAGGAGATGCGTTGCGTCAATACGGACGCAACAAATTTAAGAAAACCGTATATCGCTTTTCAGTTTATATGTCCATCCAACGGTAACATTTTTCATAAGTTGCATTTTAATCCTTACTTTAAGGTGACGAGAACATTATATGAAATATGTGAAATTCGTTGCAGACAAAGCATCAAAATTTGAGTAACTTCTAAGGAAGATTTACTGAAGGTTTTCTCATCAACAGGCCAACGAGAGTGAGTTGGAATGTCTTGGTCTCGTCTTTTTTTTACCGATGATCACTAAAGCAGATGCACCTTAGCTCGACTTGAATGGTTGCGGGTTCGAATACCACCTCGGGCATGAGTAAGCTTCTGTGCAACGGCATAGTCGGGGCTTTTCCATACTGCCCTGTATCTCGAAACGAACTGACTTTCTTTCTCATTCCTTCCCTCCCTATGGTGAGAAGAAGTTGGGGTGATGTTGATCTGCTTACGGCCCCTGTCAATGTCTACGGACGTCGATGACAACGTGTGTGACACTTATCCACCATCTTTCCTCCGCTACTCTAAAACAGTTGTTTCTAAGAGCACGTAGGTTGCAGCCAGCTGTGTATGAATTAACATATACGGGTCTATGGACCTTAACGGTGCGAAGGAATATAAATATACCGAAGTTAAACGCCCAATGAAGATGAAGAGTTGGAATGTACTGTCAAGATGAGACTATGTAACAGGTTTAAAACCCATAGTTCAGGAGTTCAAGTTTGCCAAACTCAACCGGTTACCTCATATTTCAGAAAAAACCTGCTTCTATGCTATGGTCAGATGAAACACGTACACTTAGTTCAAATGCCTTGAAATCAGTCAATACCAAATAAAACAACACAACGACAAACCTATTAAAGTTACATAAAACCAAAATACTGTTCGATGTACATCACAAACGGTGACTAATTAACTATTACACAAACCATTGGTCACGGCGCGGTCTATCGCGACATTGATTCCAGCCGTACGTAATTACAGCTCTCAGAGCCTTTCACTGAGCGGCGGCCACTCCATTCACGCGGCCGGTGGAACAGGTAGCGCTCGCCTTTGTCCCGAGTGGCGCCGGCCCTTGTCGACGCCTCTACCCTAATACGCACGTCGCATACACGCTTCGGTCACGATTCCCTGTTGGATATAGTCGCGCTGGGGGACGGCGGTTGTCCTGGCCTGAGGTTGGAGACGGCCACCAGGATCCTGTTTTTCGTTGTTTTTAATTTTTTTGCGTCGTCGTTTAGGCAACGCGTCCCTTGAACCCTTGTTGGGCGTTAAGCACTTTCCATGGAGTAATCCTTCGTTATTATCTTCATCAAGTCTCGTCATGTTGCTGTCAGTGCGTTTTTATCTCTTCGGCCGGGGGCACGGCGCCGTTAAATCCCGGGTTCCTAGCCGGTCACCCAACCACGAGTTCGCGATTCTCGAATTTGCTTAACCACCGTGACTTCACGGAGCCCAGTAATCGAATACGAATTCGGCTAGCGACGTTGGCTAGTACCACCATTAGCCATTAATGTCAAGTCCAGGATCAAGTCCGTGATGAAGTCCGGGATGAAGTCCGGGATGAAGTCCGTGATGAAGTCCGTGATGAAGTCCGGGATGAAGTCCGGGGTCACGTCCGGGGTCACGTCCGGAGTCAAGTCCGGGGTCAAGTCCGGGGTCAAGTCCGGGGTCAAGTCCGGGTCAAGTCCGGGGTCAAGTCCGGGGTCAAGTCCGGGGTCAAGTCCGGGGTCAAGTCCGAGGTCAAGTCCAGGATCAAGTCCTAGGACCCATCATGCACGGCTTTCGCGCATTTTCTAGAATAAAGACTCTTCCGTTGGTGCCAACTCCTATTAGAGTAGTGTTTGGTTCCTAAGGAGTAGCTGCTTGGCTGCCCGCGAGACGTCGCATCCCAGGCACAGGTGCCAAACGTTTCGGTAGCCATATGCAGTAGAGGAACAGTAAATTGTAGAATGTCGGTTTTTTCAAATATATTTCGTAATAAACAATTTATCGTAAAAGAAGGAGAAACAGCTATAAAGCAGTATTCTATTTTAAATAAACAATTCCAAACTCCAATGAACATGTACGTTGTACAATTAGATGATGTTAAGGTTAAAAAGTCATTGGGTCTCAATTCGATCAAACCTAAAACAGTATGTATATTTGAATGAAATGAATAAACGTTAGGTCACTATGCTACCTATTTAGAATCATTTTTAAATTCAGTGAACTTTTATACAGCTTGTGGTACATATCTCGCCATTTTTCAAATCCACCTGACATAGCATAATATTCTGGAAATAATATTTTAATTCCCGGGCACGAGGAAGCACCTTCACAAAATAGCCGGAGAAGCTAGCCGAATTCCTTAACTGCGCTTTGTGAGTCGAGCACGTCAAGCAATTCTAGACTTCGCGGGTTCCTGGGCGGGTGGCCGTTTGGCAACCACGGAATCTAACGGTGCCGAGCCCTTGCCCGAAGGGAAAAAACTCAAACTGACTACGACTAAAGATGACTGACTAGATTACAGAAGGATTACTCAATTATTCCCCAAAAGAGCTCAATGCCCGAAAAGAGGCTTAGGGACGCGTTGCAAAGAGGCAACAAATTAAAAAAAACAAGACACGGCCAGTGCGTGATTTTTCTTCCCCATCCTTATGTTCTTCTTTCCAATTCTCTATCTATGTCTCTATCTCTGTATCTCTATTTGCGTCTGGAGAGGTGGCTCAGAGCATCAACTGATGTCACTGCAGTGCCTCTCGCCGGAAGATCTTACATTCGAGTCGCGACGGTGGAAGGATTTTCGATACTAGCTTGTCTGCTAGGCCAGATTCAGCCGCTGTCAGGAGAAACATTCTAGCGGACGACTGCTTTCTGATCGATAGTAGCCCGTGGTTCCTCCGATCAACACCAGGTGAATGCCGGAGCAGTCCCTTAGCAAACGGGCCAGGGATCGCGCGCGATCTCTCCTCCCGCTTCCTTCTCCTATCCTAACTCTTACACACCCGTACACTTACATGTACTACACTACCACACAATTCGGGAGTCCGGCCGGGAACTTACAGATTGTCCCGGTGGGGTAGTGCCCCGCTGGTGAGAGATACCTGGTTGAGAAAAAGGATATCATTCTTTTTAGATATTGTCCATTTATTATTATTATTATTATTATTATTATTATTATTATTATTATTATTATTATTATTATTATTTCTTTTCGAATGTTCCACTATGGACTACGCTTATTTAACTTTCTGCCTCTTTCCTCTTCTCTTTGCTTCTTTCGTCATCTTTAATTTTGTGAAATAATGAGTGTTCCAGTTAATTTTTGCGAATTGATGGGAAGCGATTCTGGAACTAAAGAAAAAGTACGCAGATGATCTTCTCCCCCATACGTCACATTTTTCAGAGATTTTACTGTTTTTTTGACTAAATAAATCTAAATGTAAATCACTTTCTTATTTAGGGTTACACATTCCGCTGCATTAAATGCCTCTGGCAGATTATTATATTATTATTAGTATTATTATTATAACTAGCACCACCACTACCACTATTACCATTACTACTACCACTACCACCACCACTACTACTTCTACTACCACTACTACTACTACTACCACTACTACTACTACTACTACTACTACTACTTCTACGACTACCACTACTACTACTACTACTACTACTACTACTATCACCACTACTACTATCACCACTACAACCACCACCACTACTACAACTGCCACTACTACAACCACCACCACTACTACAACCACCACCACTACTACATCCACCACAACCACTACTACAACCACCACCACTACTACTACCACTACTACTACTACCACCACCACCACCATTACTATTACTACTACCACCACCACCACCACCACCTCTACCGCTACCGCTACCACTACTGCTGCTGTTGTTATTTCCGTTGTATGCAAGTATTAGCTCGCTCACACTTTGTGGAGCTACTCCCCATGCCCACTG